GGCCCAGTTAGAATTAAAATCATCTAGGGATATTAACAGGAAGGGATTCTACAGGTACATAGCAAATAAAAAACAGACTAGGGAGAACGTAGGTCCCCTCAGGCAGCTCTCAGGAGAACTAGCTACACAGGATTTGGAGAAGGCTGAGGTTCTGAATGACTTCTTTACCTTGGTCTTCACTGGCAAAGGCTCTGACCGCACCACCCAAGTCTTGGAAGGCAGACAAGGGGACTGTGAGAATGAAGACCCTAGGCCCACTGTGGTAGAAGATCTGATTTGAGACTGTCTTAAGAACCTGAATGTGCACAAGTCCATGGGACCTGACGAAATCCAATCTGCGGGTCCTGAAGGAGCTGGCAAATGAAGTTGCTAAGCCGCTGTTCATCATATTTGAAAAATCTTGTCAAGTGAATCTCCTCATGACTGGAAAACAGGAAATATAACCCCCATTTTCAAGAAGGGGAAAATGGATGACCCAGGGAATTACAGACCAGTCAGTCTCACCTCTGTGCCTGGCAAAATCATGGACAGATTCTCCGGGAAGGCATACTAAGGCACATGAAAAACAACAAGGTACTTGGTGACAGCCAACATGGCTTCACTAAGGAGAAATCCTGCCTGACCAATTTGGTGGCCTACTATGATGGGGCTATGGAACTGATGGACAGGTTTAGAGCAGTTCACCTCATCTACCCGGACTTGTGCAAAGCGTTCGACACTGCCCCACACAACATTCTTGTCTCCAAATTGGAGAGAAATCAATTTGATAGGTGGACCACTCTGGGAATAAAGAACTGCCTGGATGGCCGCACACAACGAGTTGTGGTCAACGGCTCAATGTCCAGCTGGAAACCAGTAACAAGTGGTGTCTCTCAGGGATAGGTGTTCGCACCTGTCTTTTTTAACATCTTTGTCGCTGACATGGAAAGTGGTATTGAGTGCACCATCAGCAAGTTTGCTGATAACACAAATCTGTGTGGTGCAGTTGATACACTGGAGGGAAGGAATGCAATCCAGAGGGACCTTAACAAGCTTGTGAGGTGGGCTGATGCCAGCCTTACGAAGTAACCATGACAACTGCAAGGTCCTACGCCTGGGTTGGAGCAATTCCAGGCACAGCTACAGGTTGAGCAGAGAATAGATTCAGAGCAGTCCTAAGGAGAAGGACTTGGGGGTGTTGGTCGATGAGAAAATGAACATGAGCCAGCAGTGTGCGTTCGCAGCCCAGAAAGCCAACTGTACCCTGGGCTGCATCAAAAGGATCATGACCAGCAGGTCAAAGGAGGTGATCATGCCCTAGTACTCTGCTCTCATGAGACTTCACTTGGAGTATTGTGTGCAGTTCTGGTGTTCTCAGCATAGAAAGGACAAGGAATTCTGGAACAAGTCCAGAGGAGGACCACGAGGATGATCAGAGCATTGGAACACCTCTGTATGAAGAAAGGCTGAGAAAGTTGGGGACTTTCTGCCTGGAGAAAACAAGGCTGTAGGGAGTCCTCATAGTAGCCTTCCAGTATCTGAAGGGGAGCCTACAAGGATGCTAGGGAGGGACTCTTCATTAGGGCCTGTAGTGATAGGACAAAGGGTAAAGGGTTAAAAAACAGGGGAAGTTTAGATTGGATATAAGGAGGAAGTTCTTTACTGTGAGGTGGTGAGCCACTGGGATGGGTTGCCCAAGGAAGTTGTGAATGCTCCATCCCTGGCAGTGTACAAGGCCAGGTCGGACAACACATTGGGAAACATGATCTAGTGTGAGGTGTCCCTGCCCATGGCAGGAGAGCTGGAACTAGGTGATCTTAAGGTCCTTTCCATCCCTAACTATTCTATGATTGAGTTTTGAGATGTGAAGTTCACATTTCTTCACAGAGCAGATTTTTTTTTCTCTTTTGTTTTTATTGTTTCTGCTTTATTACTTTACTTTTATTCATACCATATTTACTTTGCAAATGCATGCCTACACATTTTTCTTGGAGTCTTATAGTTTTTGTTTTCATTTTATTTTTTTTCTCTTGAGCAGTATATGCTCTCATATGAAATAATTCTGATTTTTAAAAGTGAAAAAAACAGGGCATGGCTTTCCTGCAGCGCCTTATGAAGGACCTGGCTCATGTTTCACTCATGATGAATGGTTGTCTACTCATGTCATACATGAGGAATGATAGGGAAAATTATCGGTAAATGTAAAAAATCTTTTACATTTACTTGCTGACATTTTTCAAACAGTTTTAACATTCTAAGTGTAATCTGGGTGCATTGTTCATAATCTCTATTTTCTCTCCTTTTTGTATGCTACCATTGTAATCCACAGATCAAACAATGATACTTTTGGCCACTTCAAGTGGATTTGAAATTGCAGACACTTGCAATTAGAGCTTGTTTCAGAAAAAAATCTGGAAGAAAATAAAAGCTTAGTAAATAATATTGTTGCTATGCTTTTTTTGTTCTCTTAATAACTACTTGAATCAGTTTAAACAGCATTAAAAATTACTTTTTTTTTCAAATATCAGATTAATAGGTGAACTCATTATTTGTTGCAAAATATGAATCAATGAATTTAGAACATTGTAAGTCATTCAGAAATAAAATAGACTACAACATTGAATGCTTACTTTTTCATGGGTATAAAATTTTAAATGCTTAACACTAGCAGTATAAAATGGTGGTCGTCCCACACTGATCCTTACTTATAAGATTACTACTTCTAAGACAATATAATAAGGTATAACAAATAGAAATATTGCAGGAGAAACACCAAAAACCCAGTAATCAGTCCACTTCACAGCTATTTGTGCAAAATTTACAAATCGCCAACAGTAAGAGACACAAATACTGTTGAACTAAATAACTATGAACTGCACGCTTCTAATGCCTCATAAGCTTAACTAATTGTAGATAGGGTTTGTCCATGCTTCATGGTTTTGGTCTATGAATTCCTCAGTTAATTCATTTTTCTTAAGTGCTTCAAATGGACTACAGCTGTATGTGTACAAATCTGGTCCCTAGAATATACACATAATACATGAAGAATAGTTGGTACTACCTATATTTAGACCAACAGAAAGTATGGAAATGAAATGCAAATCCATTTAATTAGAAAGCAACCTGTCAGATCAGAAGATGGCTTAAATTATTTCTAAGATTATTTCTTAGAATCTAATGTTATTTAAGTTGTTGTTAAATATTTATAGGCAGTGTAACATTGACAATATCCCCAAGATATTCTAGGATGCACCTACACTTCTCCAGGCTCTTGTGGACTACTCATTTTCTTTCTTCCATCTCACTGAAGAAATGTGTCAGGTATAGAATTCTGCAGTTTCAGCATAATCGGGATCATCTGAAATGGTGTGACTTAAGCCCCTGCATGCATAAGAAAGTAGTCCTGTGTAAGCACAGTTTAATTCCTAATATACAGCATCACTGTTTTTGAAGTATAGATGATAAAAGCACAATTTCTTGCAGCTTAAATTCTTTGAGGCCAGCTTTTTCCACCTATTATTCTGGAATAAAGGAAAAGTCCAGAGTGATTTGTAATTAATGGTTCTTTCTATGTTTTACTTCCATGCTGGTACAGCAACCCTCTGCTGTTGGCTTTATTCTCATGATAAGCTAAGTTATGTAAGATGAAATCAAAGAAATTAAGAATAAATTGAAAAAAATTCCAGAAGAAAATTTATATTTTCCAAGAGTGTGAACAGTATAAAATATCCTATGTATGTATTTCTTCAGCTTCTTCACAGTTTATCACAGTACACGAAGTGGTCAAATAGGCAGCATTTCCCTAAAGGATGCTGAGGATTTTTTTAAAAGTTATTAAGTTAATGAAAATATATGTTACTACTCAGCCAAATGAAACACAAAAATTATAGCTAGTAAGTAGCATTATTATAACAGAAAAAGAGGAGGAGTTCTTTGTAGAATTGCATTCATAGCACATGAAAGAGAGGATGCCATGCCTTTTCATCTGCCTTCTTTTTTTTTCCACTGGTAATACTTAACCACTTTAATGAAGAATCTTTTGTTACTGTTTTCAAGGGAGCAGAAGAAAAATAATGGCTTTGTTTTTTCCTTTAACATTACACAAATTTTAACATAGAAATCACTTCTAACTGATTTGATTTAGTCCCTAACATTCAGAAAAGAAAAACTTTCTCCACTGGCATTTTTCATTCATTGATGTAGATTTTAGAATACTCATTAAAAAGTCCTTATGCATTATATAAAGACAAAGAGAGGAGATGACACGCAAAGGTGTGTCACTTCCCTTTGAACTGCCCCTTGAAATATTGAAATGTTCAAAACCTATGAATTTATTATTTTAGAATAATAAATTATGACAAAGAAATACATTAAAATATGAAAATTTACATCCCTGTAAGCCAAACACACTTAATCTTATCTTTCTGAATGCATTGCTACCTGGTACTGTTAATAATTAAGTGCATGCTTGGAAGGCATCTTAAGTGACTGACAATCTGTCAAATAGAGACTTTTTGTGGTCCTGAGGCATAAATTGTTGTTTCTTCTTTTAATAAATAGTATAAAATGTTTGTTATATATCAGACCTTGGATTAGTTTTAGGGTAGCAATCTATGAAGCAACACCCTATGGATTTATGTATATTAGACTAAGTCTAGTGTGGCATAATTAAAAGCCTGATGGAAATTGAAAGATGAATAACATTTGCCTGGATATAATAGTGGACATGAAGATATTTGAGACCAAGAGACTAAGTGTAGTAGCACTTGTTGCATTCTATTGTCTGGCTTACAGGCATCACCAGCTGGATCAAGGTCTGTGCACATACATTTATATGTGTACACGTGTGGTTTGTGTTTATGTGTGACTAGTGTGGTGAGATATATATGGCCTTTCAATAAATGTTATAATAGAGGATATACTTCTTCCTGTGCATTATATCACATTTTATTTTTATCAGCAATAACTAACTTTCCTTAAAATAGACTCCATCTGACATATGTTCCCTGTGGTCTCTTCAGGTTCCCCATACAGAGACAAGATCACTATAGCAATTCTTCAGCTGCAAGAGGAGGGCAAGCTCCACATGATGAAAGAGAAATGGTGGAGAGGCAATGGCTGCCCAGAAGAGGAAAGTAAAGAGGCCAGTGCTTTGGGAGTTCAAAATATTGGAGGAATCTTCATTGTGCTGGCAGCAGGATTGGTGCTGTCTGTCTTTGTGGCAGTAGGGGAGTTTTTGTATAAATCAAAAAAAAATGCCCAGTTGGAAAAGGTAAATATTGTCTTTTCCTATTTTATTTTATAACAGTGTTTTATTTAAATAATACTTTAAGAATCTGGTAGTGAAATGTAGGTGATACATACTGATTGTTTACCATATAGTACAGTACTTGTATAGCAAAGGATCACAGCAAAGTACCCAAAGTCTTACATTTACAGCTTTTAATTTGTCTTCAATGTGTTTAATTGTAGCCAGATTTCAGGACAAGTGACTATTTCTCCTCTTATTCAAGCCTGAAAAAGGACAGCTTTTTACTCCTGGAAGTTCACTGCAGTTAATTTTATGGATGAAGAAGAAATCTGAAACTGTAATGGGAAACAATCTTCTACAGATAATTCTGATTTTCAAAGACAAACTGTAGCTCAAAATCAAAATCTAAAAATGTCTCTGTAGAAATGTTCTTTACGGAAGTTTATGCTTGCAAAGTTTCCTGGTAGCATCTGTAAAAGATTACATCAGCATGGATTTTTTTGGGTGGGTTTACTACTGATATGATGTCATGTAATTTCAAACTGAATCCGTTTTAAAAATTCTAGTGTTAATTTGTTTTGTACTTGCAATTTATAAAACCACAATACTTTAATAGTATCAACATTAGTAATATCTTGTGAGATTCTTAGTTGGAATTATTATTTTTTCATAATGAATAGATCTTTGTATGTACTCATATTTGAAACTAAATTCAAACTGTATTTCATTGCCAAGACAAATTCTGACTTTTCAAAATTGTGAGAACATGTTAAATTTTACTAGGTCTTTTTCTTTTTTTTTCTTTTCCTTTTGAGGAGCTTGTGACCTATGGCACTTTCTATATTTCTATTTGGAAATTTAATGTAATAAAATCAGTAGTAAATCCGATAGCTATATTTATATTTTTATTTTTCCAGAAGCTACTGGGGAGTTCTTGTAGCTTGAATCATTACTTGGAAAATTTTAAATTTGTTTCTACTTCTTTTGAGACAACATTTTGGTATGCAAGTGTCCTTTCATAAATATATTAAAAGATTTTTTTTCTAATATGCACAAAGGCAGAGTGAGGTTACGAGGTCCTGAGCATAGTTTGAAGATGGGTATATTTTATTAAATTGTTAAAGGAACATTTAGATCCTCTTCTTTATGATACTTTAGGATAATTCCTTTCTGTTAACATACTCTTGGAATGCTATGTTTCCAAAATGAAATTGTGAGTTAAAAGATTTCAGTTACTTAAGTAACCCATGTAATTCTCAATAATTTTTATCCATTCCTAATGTGGACATGTTATGTGGATTTCTTATGGACATAAGTATAGTTTGGTTTAGCTTTTTTTCCTGGATTTTTAACAAGCACTCAGAAAAACAACACTATTTTGATAAAAATCTTGTAACATGAATTCAGCAGTTTACAGAGTGTGAATGCATATCTTATGTGAAAATAACAGTCTGTTGGCCATTGTGTGAGGAAACAAACAGAAACTTCCTAATTAGGCAGTTGTTTCTCTAAGCCCTATGGTTGTTTTTTGGAAGAATCTGACCATTTCACAGTACTTACGCCAGAAAAGGCTCATCATCAAGTATGAGATACTTAAAAAAGTTAGGAGTGAACCTGAAGCAGTCAGGTCTCTCTCCTCTCCTTCCTCCTTGCCGTCAACCTCTCATTCCCTCTTCTCCTTTCCCCACTGCAGCCACACACCCTGACTGCAGGGGACAAGTAAAATTTCAGTAGCACTTTACTTATGAAATCAAATCAACAGGAAAATTATGCTAGCATTCCTACACTTGGCCTACTCTATCATCCCTTCACCCTATCTTCTCCTGGCGCCCACAAACCTCCAATGAACATCTTCTGTCATCCCCAAATATAGTAGATACCCTTTGCCTAGGAGAAGGAGTAGCAGCAGCCAAAGGGGAGATAAGCAGTACCATCTGTCTCCAGTCTCTACATCTCCTCTGCTGGGATGAGTAAACCATGCAAGTAATGTTGTCTTGGCTATCTCATGGCAAGAGAGGAGGCACCTATTTTTGGTAATATGGTTTCATCCCTCTAGAATCAGAATCCCATTCTGGTATTTGTATAATGCTTGTCAACATTTGGAAACAGGGAAGATCAAAGGTCACATTAACAACCAAGGAAACAAAAGAAATTACCTATTTTCAGCTGTTGGATATATGTAGTATCTTGGGATATAAGTGGACATATTAGTATGTGTGCTCGCTTTTTAATATATACAAAATTAGAGTTGCACTTCCAGTGGGGAGGCAATGCAGATTTAGAGTGTATAATCTAGGTATGTAGTTTTAGCATTTTCAATGTCACACTGCTCTCAGAGTGTGCATGTAAACAGAGACATTGGCTGGTGTGAACCTAGTTGGAGGAGTGAAATGTTGAAAGGAATTGAGCTCAGAAAATCAGCTGATAAAATTGTGTTATTTGCTAAATAACTATTGCATCTTATAACCAAAGTGGTTCAGAACATCTATTCTCATATATGCTCAAAAATTCAAAGGAAACCTGTGATACTATCGGAAGTCTTTCTGGGAAACATGAATTCATGCGACCACAACACTTTCCAGACGCAGAGAAACGTCTTTTTAGTGACACTTTTCAAAAACAAAGTTATGTTTGGATATCACATTTAGACTGTCAGTCACTAACACTTACGGCAAGTTTGTTTGAAAAATGAGTGTCCTAATTTACTAGGTATTTTCCAGAAGATCAAGTGAGGCACTGGAATAGGTTGCCCAGGGAGGTCGTGAATGCTCCACCCCTGGCAGCGTTCAAGGCCAGGTTGGACGAGACCTTGGGTAATATGGTTTAGAGCGAGGTGTCCTTGCCCATGGCAGGGGGGTTGGAACTTGATGATCTGAAGGTCCTTTCCAACCCTAACTATTCTATGATGGATATGAAAATAACAGTATATGGATTCAGTTCTGCTGGAATTCAGACCATCAGCAGGTCAGAAATAGGTCTGCTTGTGAAAAAGAGAAGATGTGCAGTTTACTAATTTTGAACTGTTTAGTACTTCAAATAATGTGAAACGAGACACATCAGTGTACCCTGTTTGTTTCACAAAGAGTTATCTGGCTATAGGCTTCTTATAATACAAAATCATGGACTCATAGAATCATAGAATTATACTAGATTAAATCTTAGAGTATACTGAAATAATAACACCAACAAAGTTTTTCCTATCAAATCATAACCTAAACATCAGTTAAATAAGCCTTTATTGCTCTGATTGCCAATAATTCTGAATTTGCTGTCTACATCAAACACACATTTGAGTAATGTGATAATCTGTGGTGTATTTTGAGCTAAATAACCCCTATAAGCCTACCTAGTACATAGTTGCACTGATTTTTTTTTCAGACAAAGTATTGGGAATGACAAAGCATTGCGCTTGTGTATAGCAGAATTTTGACATTCTAGTTGACACAGAAGGAAGGGGTAGGACGAGATGGGGGACCAGACTATCCTGACTGCATTCCTGCAAAGTAGCCACAAGATGGTGCCTTCTAATTTCTCAGAGGGAAATTTAATTGTTACTTTTTAATAGAATTTCACAATGCTCACCTTTTCTCATTTCAGCCTTTAGAAAATATTTTAGTCTTGTATTCTTTTCTGTTGTTTATCATACAACCATCTAATTATGTCATCTGCTTGTAAACAAGTTATTAAGCAGACCTTTTTTATCCAGCCAATCTTAACAATAAATGCCCAGTCATTTGCATTTTCTAATTGCTTTTGCTGGTGAACTACCTTCTCCTTAATTTTAACAAGTACTCAGAGGGCTGTGTATAAACAATGTTAGAAATAGAAGCCATTTAAAACAATTACTATGTCCTTTTTTTATTATTGATGTGCATCAGTGTGTTATAGGTTTATGTTCGTTTAAAGCATTTAATTTTGTATAGCTCATATTATTACCATAATGACCGTGGAAAACATTGACCTTGAAGACCATTAATATTTAGCATAATATATTGCTGATTCTCAGTTTGAGAATTTATTGTTCTTTCCTTCATTTTTGTGTTTGAGTTTGGGGTTTGGGTTTGTTTTTTGTGGTTTGTTTTGTTTTTTTTTTTTTTGAGACTTCTCTGAGATTATTTCCATTTTGATACCACCTTCACATAGTGATTAGATATAATATATTACCATAAGCGTCAGCTCTGTGGTAGAAACTTCATCTGCACTGCTGAAAACTTTAGGATGAAATTCATAGTATTGCTGAAGGCAATGTCAAGAACATATAGAGTATTTCTTGGTGGCATCCTTGCAAATGGTTGTCTTTGTACTTATCCTGGTCATGGTTTCTTTGGAGAATATGGCTTTGGCTTGAGAAGTTTTCTTGAAACCTAGTTTTATTAATGTAGTGGACGCACACCTTTCCCAAGAAGCAATGAGAGGTTAAGGGCTGCTTAGCTGAAAAAATTATGTATATGTCAACATATAGAGTTGACACCACATCCTGATTCTGTTTCCCTCAAATATGGTTACTTCTTGATTTTATTTTTTTTTTTGCATGAAGTTAGTGTAAATGCTAACATGAGTTCATTTGCCAAGGTCCTTCCACAATCTGTTTGCAACAGAATAAATTAATTTGTTATGTCTTAGAATGCTGCTTTTTAGAATTGAGGTGAGCAAAATACATATATGTGACTTGTCCTATATGGAATGCTCTTACAGCATGACGTTAATCAGTAACAAAATATTGTGGGTGCTTCTTCATTAACAGAATATGTATCAATTCTTATCTTACAATGCAAACCAAAATTACCACAATAATTAAATATGAATAATGAAAATTTTTTTAGAATCCATTCTTACTTTACCAGAATATTTTATATTGGCTGTTTCTTTTCTAAATTGTACTAAATTAGTTTTCATTACAGTCTTTTTCATTATTAAAAAAAAAAATGCAGTTATGTCAGTGTTATTGGAATTCTGAGAATATTCCTGATGGTTTACTGCTAAAAGCCTTTGCTATTTGGGATAGTTTTGGAACAACCCCA